GTTTCGCTGATATCCATCTTCTTAAAAGTTAAGCTCTCTTCTTTCAAAGGTTGAACTCCCTTCTTTATGTAAGTTGAAAAAAGAATTATTTTTTGTACTTACAATCTATCAAATACAACAACAACATTTCTCCAAAAAAATACAACATTATTTTGTGAGTATAGGGCAAAAAAAGTGTTTTGTGAATAATGATGCGGGTTGGGGCGGCTTCATATGAACACGAATTAGGGTAAAATATAACGATTGATTTTATAGTAAAATTTTACTACTATACCACTCAGATTAAAGTTTAAAACCGACGTGGTGATTTCTATAACTATCACCTCAATTATTTTTGAAGTATCACCTCAGTAATTTTTGAACTACCACCTTGGTAATTTTTGAACTATCACCTCAGTTATTTTTAAAAATTGGGGTGATAATTTTTTTAAGTATTACATTGTTTACATGTAATATTAAAATAAATTGTTTACAAAAAAATCTCTTCAATGATTTTTCTGCACTTGCAATCCATCATAACTTTGCATCCAAGATTGATTGTTGATGCTTGAATGTCAGAACTTTGCATCTAAATTGATTGTTGATGCTATCATTATCACTACATTCACTAGCATATACAATGTGTGTAATGTCCGTAATTTAATTAATTATTTAATTAAACTATTTTTGAAATATTTGAGAAGTTGTGTTGTGATTAATTGTATTTAATTATTTTATTAAATGGTGAAATAATATTAGAAGAATGATATTATTTGACGTGGGCTTGTTTTAAAGGATGGAAGTAGTAATAAGGGGGTGTAGTAGTTTTAAGCCCATTAAGGTATTAAAAGAATAATAGGTTATTTTATTATTGTGGAAATAATAGAAAAGAAGAAGCACTAAGAAGAATAAGGGTTTGAAAGGAAGAATGTGAAAGCTGTTGGAAAAGAGGTTAGAGGCAGAACGGAAATTCAACCGGAAAAGTTATAGAGCAACCTTCAATCCATGGTAAGAGTGGGGTTCAGACTCTACAATAGGGTTTATGATGATTGGTTTATGGGATTAGATGTGAAAATGTTGTCTTGTTCATGATTGAATATATGTTGTTGGATGATGAAGATCGATGAATTATGGATGAATAATGATGTCCCAATGCTGTTTACTTGATGTAGAATTATAGGATAATCGTAATTGATGATTGTCTATGATTAGATGATGTTTTTAGGACCTAAAGTATGGAACCCGTAGCGAAATCGCAGAGAAATCACAGAAAATATCCTTAGCAGAACAATATGCGTCGACCCCAAATGGTATGTGTCGATACATGAATGATGTCAGACTCAGGATGAGTCGACACAAAGGAGTCATGTGTCGATACATGAGGACTTTCAGACTCAGGATGAGTCGATATGTAAGGGCATATGTCGATACATGCAGTATTGCAGACTCAGTATGAGTCGATACAAAAGATGATGCGTCGACTCATGTTGTGAGTTCAGTTCAGTACGCGTCGACCCAAGGCGTTATGCATCGATCCATGTTGGCTAGTTTTTGACAGAATCAGTTTGAGAATGCTGTAACTTGAGTTTTCAGATCCTGTTTGAGGTTTCGTTCGAAGCATTGAATAGCTAATGCAATGAATTTCATTCTTAAGGATTAAAACAAAGAATAGGAAGGATAATCATAGTATCCAAATTAGGATTTGAATTAGTTCCCGTGTTAATTGTTGTGTTGATTTTTGTGAAGAATGATGAGGATGAGATGTATATAGATTGTTGTTTGGTTTGTAACAGTAGGATTAATGATGATAATGGTGTAATATTACAGAATAGAAATATGTAGAGGTTTGGTAATTTAGGAGTAAGCCTTAGATGATTAATTAATTATAGGCAATATCATGTTGTAGGCCTATGGTCAATGTTGCAAATTGACGAGTCACGACTGTATTATTATATGGCTGAGTTGTTGGTGAAACGATGATTTATGAGATTATGCTTGATGAGCTATGATGTATAAATGATATTTGATGTATAAATGATGTTTGCTGTATAAATGATGTTTGATGATTTATGATGATAAATGAATTATGATGATATATGATGTTGATGAAAGATATTGAAATGCCTTTAATAATTGGCAGCTATAAAGATGTAGGCTTATGGCCAACTATGATGTTATATTAAGATGTTGTTAATTATGGTGTCGTCATTACATTCATGATTGTGTCGCATATATTGCATTTTAAGATGGAGCTTATGCTCGTTAAAGATTACCTGTATTGGCGAATATTAAGATGAAGGCTTATGCCTTGTTGATGCCTCTATTTATTGGCAGATTTTTTAAGAGGGGAGTTCTGCTCCAATGTTACCACATGCATTTGCATAGTATTGAGTTGCATTATACGATTGCATAAAGAAGTTATGTTTTGATATTGTGATTGTGTATTATTTGTTGCAATTATTGTTGATTATAAGATGAGAAGTGGTGATGTTATGTGATCTAATTCAATATATTAATTATCATACGCTTTATTATATTGTTAGATATCTCACCCTTCTGTTTGAATGTTGCCCTTATGTTGGTAACATGCAGGTAATCGAGAGTGAAGGCTGTATATCTTTAATAGTTTGAATCAGTGTCATTGCTCTGATATGTAACACTGAGGGGGATGGACGCTTATTGCTTTTGATTGTTGATTATTCAGTTGTTGAACTTTAAGTTGATTATTATTAAAATTGTGTTGTTTTGAAATTGATGTAACGATGATAAATATGTTATTAAGAATTCTGTTGCGAAGATGTTAAATTATTGATTTAAGAGATTAAATTGCTATGCTGATGGTTCATCCGATGTTTTAAAGTGTTACGTATCCACGATGAATGCAATGAGTTTTTAATGATGAATTTGTGGCATCCTGATTCGTTTGCATGAATGATTTTATAACTCTGATTTATTTATATAATTGCCAGGTAGAATTGGGGTGTTACAATGTGTATACGTTAAATGCATCCAACTTCTAATAAAGTGTTTCTTCAAAAAATTGAAAAATATTTTTTCTGCACTTGCAATTTATCAGTAAAGCTTTTAGGAATAACACCAATAACTTTTATGAATAACAAAATTAACAACTTTTAGGAATAACAACAACAACATCAACACCATTGTTTGAGATGAATTGCAAAAGTTGAAAAAAATATTTTGTTCAAGGTAGAAGGACATTTTTTTCTTCAGATTTGCAATCCATCTCAAAAAATGATGCATTTGATGGTGGGACGACTACAAATAAGATAACATTATGGTGTAATCTGTTCAACGAGTGTTTTTATAGTAAAATTTGATTAATTTATCCATCGAGTTATAAAAAAACTGAATGGTTAGATCATTTAGTTCAGACTTGTAAACAAATGACAATATAAAGTGCAATAGCTGGGATTCGAACCATATCGGGATGGGTATAACACCTCTATTTTTTTAAATAACCGAGGGAACAAGTTTTTTTTTAACAAAAATAAATAAAACATGGCGCACTTTGGTATAAAATCTCAGTCTTTTTCTGGATGACATGAAAACTTCGTCATGAAAAGCGTTATTCTTAGTAGTGAACATTTTAAACTAAGTTCTAACAGTTAAAGATTAAAATACAATTAAGAAGCTGAATAATTTTTGTTTAGCATTGAACGTATAACTTATTCTTATAACTACCACAACTCACAACGGTTGGTCATACATTGTGTGTCTCTTTTTCAACTGTTGTAATATTACTTTTTCATAAAAGTGAGTGAAATTAATTCTCTTAAATTAGTCGAGATTTAAAAAAAAATTATAATAAAAAAAGACTAATTTATATCAACTTACTAAAATTAAAAAATTAAAAGTTAATACAAGATTTGATGGGAAAAAGTATTTAAACCTTTATATATTTAATAATTTAAAATATAAGATTTGTTGTTTCAATTATAGTTTCTCTTATTCTAAAAGGATGATGAACAAGATCATCAATTATTTGTATTCTACATATTCATCTAAAATATATTTTCAATCACATTAAACTATGGGATTCACCCCATGGAGTAAAGGTGTTTTCACTCAACAATTTTTCAGTCAAATTTAAATCTCTTGGGGATTCTTTCCACAAATCTAAATTTTATTTATAAACATACACTTGTATTAAAACATTGTTACCAAATACAAAAAGTCAATCATTTTTAGATATATTATTGACTTTGAAATTTTTTAAAGTCACAAGAAAAAAGATAAAATATTAGGGAAATACTATTCACTTTGGACCAATAAATTCATAATTAACTTAATGAGAGAGAGGCAATTTCCGATCTCAACCATCTGATTTTTTATAATTGTTAGCTAGCTTAATGGCAAGTTTTGTTTTTAAGATTTAATTTTGGAATCTAAAAAGAAATAGTAATACAATTTGTTGTACCTTTGTCCTTTATTTTTATATTGATTTAATTTATTAAATATTAATTTAAAAAAGCTTAATTAATAGATTCATGACACGTGTCTTTAATGTATATTATGTTAGTTTTTTTTTCCGTTGATTTTAGATTAAAAATCTAGATTTTTATAAAGTTACAAAGAAAACCATTCATGCAGAAACACTTATTACTCCATTTAATATATTCATTACTCAGAAACACAGAATGCAACAACTTAAGAAAATGGTGAGACCATGAGTAATGAGAGACAGCAATAAAACTATTAAGACCTCAACCATAAATAATAGCAGTATAGGTGTATATCTAGAGAGAGAAAGTTAGAGAGAGAGAGTATATTTGTAACAGATTTGTGTTTTGGTGAGCTGTTTACTGTCCTTCTTCTGCACCCTTTTTATACCAACCTTTCATATACTTTATATTTTCACTAACTTCATCAACAATATTATTCCATCCACATGCACCTCTGTTCTTTCCCATTAAATCCCCGTTTTCTCTTTCCCTCTTCTTTCTCTCTCCGTTCTTTCTTCAAACCATGTTCAAAAACCACACTCTCAATTTTCCAAAACTATGAACTTCACCACCACCACAACAACAACCCTTTCTCTTTCTCTTTTTCTCACACTCTTGACACTAACCATTAACCTATGTTTTTCTCTTACCAACGACGGCTTTTTGTTGCATTCCTTCAAAGAATCCATACTCAACGACCCTTTATTCGTGCTTTCGAATTGGAACTATACCGACCAAACACCATGTTCATGGAACGGTGTTTCTTGCTCCATTGTAAAAGAAAACACAAAAAATGATACACTGTATCGTGTTACTGGTTTATCACTACCAAATTCTCAGCTTTTAGGTTTAATTCCCTCCGATCTTGGTTCCATTGAACATCTTCAAATTCTTGATCTTTCTAATAATTCCCTTAATGGGTCTCTTCCTTCTTCGTTTTTCCAAGAAAATTCTGAACTTAGTTTTCTGAATTTCTCAAACAATTTGTTATCGGGAGAAATTCCAGAGTCTATAACCGAGCTTAAGAATCTTCAGTTTCTTAACTTTTCCGACAATGCTTTTACCGGAAAACTACCAAACAATCTCTCAAACATGCAGAACTTAACCGTTGCTTCCTTTAAGAACAATTACTTAACCGGTTTTCTTCCTAAGGATTTACGAACTTTACAGGTTTTGGATCTGTCTTCCAATTTGTTGAACGGCTCACTAAGTCAAGATTTCGGCGGTGACTCCATTCGTTATTTGAACGTTTCTTACAACAAATTTTACGGCGAAATTCCACCGGAGTTTGCCGAGAAAATTCCGAGTAACGCAATGGTTGATCTCTCGTTTAATAATCTCACCGGCGAGATACCGGATTCCCCGGTTTTTCTGAATCAGGAAACAACGTCGTTTTCTGGTAACATTGATCTATGTGGAGAAATTATGAAAAATCCATGTTCTATTCCTTCTTCTCCTTCTTCTGAACCAAAAGCTTCTTCTCCTGCGATCGCCGCAATGCCGAAGAATTTCGACGATGATTCTCCTCCAACGGATTCCTCAGAGAAAAAACAAAGTGGTTTGAGAAAAGGAACTATTATAGGAATTGTGGTTGGAGATTTCGTTGGAATTGGAATTTTAGCTATGGTTTTCGTTTACGTATACAAGTTGAAAAGAAGAAAAGATGAAGAGAATGAAATAAAAAAGGAAGCTACAATTACAAGAAGTGAAAGTTCATCGTCAAATTCCGAAACCAGAGGCTTCACGAGGTGGTCATGTTTGAGAAAAAGAACAGAAGACGAAGAGTCCTCGGAGACTCCGAGTTCGTCTACCAGTGAAGTGGAAGCATCACAAAAAAATGTTGAAGGTGGTGTAAAAGAGAATCAAACCGGGTCGGGTTCGAATACGGGTACTCTGGTTACAGTTGATGGTGAAAGAGAGCTTGAAGTTGAAACGTTATTGAAAGCTTCTGCGTATATTTTAGGAGCTACTGGTTCAAGTATAATGTATAAGGCTGTGCTTGAAGATGGAACCTCGTTGGCGGTTCGGAGAATTGGTGAAAGTGGTGTTGAACGGTTCAAGGATTTCGAGAATCAGGTTCGGGTTATAGGAAAACTGGTTCACCCGAACCTGGTTCGGGTTCGTGGTTTTTACTGGGGACATGATGAGAAACTCATTATCTATGACTATGTTCCTAATGGTTGTCTCGCCAATGTTCGTTACAGTAAGTATCTCTTTTACTGCGATCAATAACTTTTTCACTGTCTTTGTTAATATTAGCATCTAGAAATGTGAATATGGATCCTAACGTATTAAATATAAAATATGTATCACAGTTGGTTTAGATTTTTTGCAATTTTAATCGGTATAGATGTTAAGAAGCTGATTCTAGTAGTAATAGGCGTTGTTGATATCTTTTGATGGTCTTTTTAAAACTTTGTTGAAACTAATTAAGAAACTTATGAGTCGTGAAGTTGATGGTGAGGTTGGTAGGTGCAACTGAACTATTGACTTTAATGATCAATAGTCAACCATGTCAAGACTTTATTACTATGTGTCGTCCCATAGCTTTCTGATAACGATACTCGTGAGCATAATTGGAAACATTTATATGCATATTGTATCTTGTTTTTGTCACACTTATAAACAGGACCATTTTTTATGTGAACACAACTTGTTTCTTATGTGCTTCACTTATTGTTATTTCTGCTTCTCATAATTCAGGGCAAAAATTGTTTTTGTCTTTTTCATTTTTTTTTCCTGTTAATTTAACGTAAGAGTGATTTTTTTCCTTCATTCACCGACTTCTTTATTGATGATAGTAAATTGGTGTGTTTGTCAGGAAAAGTGGGGTCTTCACCTAGCCACTTACCGTGGGAACAACGGCTCAAGATAGCAAAAGGAGTTGCACGTGGGCTAACGTATCTCCACGAGAAGAAGCACGTGCATGGGAATTTGAAGCCAACGAATATTCTATTGGGCAATGACATGGAGCCCAAAATCGGAGACTTTGGGCTTGAAAGAATAGTAACAGGTGACACAAGTTATAAAGCGGGAGGTTCAGCACGTATTTTCGGGAGTAAGAGATCAACAACTTCACGGGATAGTTTTCAAGATGTTACACTTGGGCCTAGCCCAAGCCCAAGTCCAAGCTCGATAGGTGGTGTGTCTCCTTATCATGCGCCCGAGTCGCTTAGGAATTTGAAGCCTCATCCAAAGTGGGATGTATATTCTTTTGGGGTCATGTTTCTTGAGCTTTTAACAGGAAAGATTGTAGTTTTGGATGATATGGGCCAAGGGCCCGCGGTAATGGTCGAGGATAAAAATCGGGCTCTGAGGATGGTTGATGTGGCAATTCGGGCTGATATGGAAGGGAAGGAGGAGGCTTTGTTGGCTTATTTTAAGTTAGGATATAATTGTGTCACTAATGTTCCTCAAAAAAGACCACCAATGAAAGAAGTGTTGCAAGTTCTAGAAAAAATACCATCTACATTGTCGTATTGGTCATGATTTGTCACTAAGTTTTGTAGAAAAGAATAAGTATATGTATGTAGTTATGATAAATTAATAGGTTTTTGTGTTTGGGTTCTATGTTGTGTGTTGTAATTGTTGGAAGTTCATTGACTATATCTCTATCAATTCATTTACTAATTTATTTTTCACAAAATAAATTTTGCCTCGATATCTTTCACTATTTTTGTTTAAAAAAATAAATTTTATGTGAGATGAATATAAGGTTCTTGAGATACTTATCTTATGTATTGTTTTTGTGAGAAATTATATTATTTTAAAAAAACTTTTTTTTTGTAGTTCTTAGTTATTAGATTTATTTGTTAATATCGTAATTTAGTGTTTAATTAACTTATAAGTAATGAGAATTTGAAATGTAAAGTAAGTTGACAATAAATGTAAATAGAGTAAAAGGAAAAATACATACATTATTTGAGTAATCAATTAATAAAATTTTATATCCTTTGTACGCGTTAGATGTGTAATCTATTTTATCTAAATTTGTTTTGTTGTATTAGGAAGGCAAAAGTCCAAAACAGAAAAGAAACTAATCAACTAATTCCATTAGCTGATCAACTATATATATTTATATATATATATATATATATATATATATATATATATATATATATATATATATATATATATATATATATATATATATATATATATATATATATATATATATATTTTAGTTGTATTATTCACATGAATGATGATTGGAATAAATATGAAATACATGATAATGGAGATTAATTTGTTGTCAACAATAGTATAATAGATCAGCTAAAACTAAGGCAACAAATCAATACACATAATGGCTAATTTAAGTATATAATAACTATACAATATTTTCAAATTGTAACAACTACTACTATAATTAAGGAGCTGCTAGAGGAAAAGATCAAGTAACTGTTATTGCAGTTACGTGACTGTGCTAATACGCCCCTGCAAGATGGAGGAGTGGTCAACGACGACAATCTTGGAGAGAAGAAACTCATGACGAGGCTGAGAGAGTGGTTTCGTTAGTAAATCTGCTAGTTGGTGACTAGAAGGTACATGAGACACTTTAAGTTCACCTTTTGCAATGATGTCACGAACGAACTGATAGTCGGTAGCTAAGTGCTTCATTCATGAGTGAAACACTGGATTCGCACAAAGATATGTTGCACCAATATTATCGGAAAATATGTTCGGTGGATGAGTGATTTTGATCCCAAGTTCCAATAGAAGCTGCCGTAACCATAAGAGTTCAGATGTAGTAGTTCCGATTGTGCGATATTCAGCCTCTGTGGAGGATCACACAACTGTAGGTTATTTCTTGCAGGACCAAGAAATGACATTGGGTCCGAGATAAACTATGTAGGCACCCGTGAACTTTCGATCAATTGTGTCACCGCCCCAATCTGCATCACAAAAGGCGGTGAGTTCAAGATTCTTTGTTGCTGCTAGATGGAGACCATGTGAGATAGTGTGCTTGAGATGTCGAAGAATGCGTTTGAGAGCTTGCATGTGAGTTACCGAGGGTGCTTGTATGAACTGTGACAGCTTACTGACAGCAAATGCCACATCTGGTCTAGTGATAGATAAATAATGCAAAGACCCAATAATGCTGCGAAAAGAAGTAGCGTCACATGGAGGTGTATCATCCTGGATGCCAAGGGAGCAAGTAGTAGACATTGGAGTTCCTACTGGCTTAGCATCAATCATATTTCCTTTGTGCAGTATGTCTCGAATATAATGATGTTGAGACATGAAAATTCCGATGTTTGTGGGAATGAGTTCGACACTAAGGAAATGACTCGGTCTTCCAAGATCTTTTAGAGAAAACTTTGTAGCAAGATCAGCCTTGAATTTATTTAAGAAGCTGATATTGTTTCCCGTAAGAAGTAGATCATCAACATATACTAGGAAAAAGGCAGTGACATTACCATGATTCTAGATTAAGAGAGATGAATCTTATTTGCTATTGAGAAATCCAGAAGCAACAACAAAGGTTTTTAATTCATTGTACCAAGCTCGAGGAGCTTGTTTTAGACCATATAATGCTTTGTGGATCTTGCATACATGATCAGATAGTGTAGGATGAACAAAGCCATATGGTTGACACATGTAGACATCTTCAGATATGGTATCGTTCAAAAAGGTATTGTTAACATCCATTTGGATTAAATTCCATCCTTTTGAAAGTGAAATACACAATACCATTTTGATCGTTTGCGGCTTGATAACAGGACTAAAAGTGTCTTTATAATCAATACCCGGCCGTTGATGAAAACCTTTTGCAACAAGTCGCGCTTTGTAACGAGCGATGGATCCATCCGAATTTCTTTTCAGGTGAAACACCCATTTGTTTCCAATGACATTAAAATGAGGTTGTGGAGGAACTAAAGACCATGTACCATTAGTCATGAGAGCTGTAAATTCTTCAGACATTACTTGTTTCCACTCGTGGCTCTACATTACTTTGGATACACATGTTGGTTCTTCAGCTGGTGATAGTGGATGTTTAGACATAAAAAAGTTTCTTTGGTTTGAATATTCCCACTTTTCCACGAGTGATCATGGAGTGATTTGGCATTACCGAAGTTGAAGCTTGAGAATAAGAACATGCTGCAAGTGATTTAGATGAAGATGAAACATGTATAAGTGGTGATTGAGGTGGAGAATCTATTGTGGTTTGAGGAGGGGGATTGATGGGTTGATTGGGAGGAAGGATATCACTTTGGGTTAAGGAATTTTTTGGTGATTTGGATGAGGTGGGGGTGGCTGAGAGAGAGAGAGATTTGAGTAAGGTTAGTGGGGCTAGATTTTGAGATTGTTATTATAGATGTTAAAGGTTAAGCACCATAATCTATATTTGTAGAAGGTTGTTTATATTCTGGATCAAGGTGAGATATATGTGATGGTTTATTTTTGTTTGGTGAGTATGGGAAAATGTCTTCTACAAATTTAACATGTCTAGAATGGTGGATTTTATTGTTTTTGAAATTGAAGCAAATGTATGCATTTTGTGTGAGACTGTATCCAAGGAACAAGCATGGTTCAGATCTTGGTTCTAACTTATTATTTGTGTATGGTTTAAGCCAAGGAAAGCATAGACACCCAAATGTTTTTAGTTTTTTTTTTGTATTTTAGAGGTGATTTAAATAGTACATTGTGTGGTGTGCTCATGTTAAGACCATGAGTGGGTAACTGATTAATTAGATAGGCTGCTATTTGAAAGTGTTATACGACGTGACAGATCTAGAAGGGGGGGGGGGGGGGGGGGGGTTGAATAGATTCGTTTGAAAATTTTGCGCTTTTTGTAAAATTGTTTTTATCAGAGAGCGACAACCCTGAATCTGATCATCTAAACTTTACGTATTGGAAAGATCGGATATGCGAACCAATTTGATAAAAATGATGAGAATAGAATCACAACTAAAATTGAATATGATGAATCGCTTTAGCAAGTTTAACAAGGTGTAAGTTATTACCAATTAGTTGCGGAGAAGATAAAGAAAATTTGTGAGTTGTAAATTCACCAAACACTTGGTGTACGTACTACACAAGGTTTGGTTATACTCAAATTATAGTGATTATAGCGATTCAAATGAATGCTATATGAGTTGTAAATTTTAGTTTGTCACTACAATTATTTTGTATGAATGAGAAAAATTTATAACTCACAAATTCAAGCAAATAGAAATAAAATGCAGAAAACAAAAATGGACACAGTATTTGTTAAGGCAGTTCACCCTGTCGTCCTCGCGTGGGCTACTCTGCCCCCAATTCTAGAATCTAGAATTAGGATTATGAAATTAATTTTGCAAAGTTTGTAAGAGAAGATACAATCACCACAATTCAAAGTCACTTGATGAATCTTATATGTTGCACTCCTCTTCCCTTGATTCTTGATGAATCAAGTATGCCAAATCTTGAACAAAATCTCCTTCTACCTATGATTTTGAACCCTAGAAATTGGCCCCAAATCCTTCTTCACAATCCTCTGGTTACCACTACCCGATTGAACACCCCAGGGTCTTCCAATCCCTTAGTTCGGCTGAATTCAATGAAGAAAATGTTAGAACATAGTTTGATTCTACAACCCTTGAGTAAAGTTTTGATGATAACAAAATACAAAGAATAAAATTATTTCTAAGGTATACACAAAGAACAATTATGCTCCTGAAAATTATGCTATGTATATGCAGAAGCTCTGATGGAATCAGCATCAGAATAGAAGCAGCATCAGAAGATCAACAACCTATGTTACACGCTGAAACACTGAAGTTTGATGACCAGAATCTGCGCCTAATCAATTACACTCTGACTCTGATCAAAGACATCTTTTCCAAGTCATCTACACTCTGAAGCGTTATCAGCGGATACAACAAAGAAGATTCTGAAGCGTTACTAGGCATTCAAGACTGAATTAAATGCTAACGGCTTTCTTCAGACAAAGGTATTCTACAAAAGGAAAGTGCATTATTATCATTAAACCTGCTTTATGGACAATGTATCCTTGATTGCCTATATAAACAGAACTCCTTGTGAAAAGAAGCACGTACGTACACACTCAATTTGCTAAGCTATTCAAACCACGCTCATTCAAAGCTTTAGCAAAGTCATTTTATTCCAATCTTAGTTTGTGTAATTATCACAGTTGTGATATACAGTTTTGTAAGAAAACAACATACACACTAGTTCAATTCATTTGTAAAAGATTTCCTTGAGATAAACCGGTCTGTGGTTGTACTCAAGAAGACTTTAACAGTTGTTAAAGTAGCTATTGTAATCCTTTGAAAATTGTGGATTAAGACCTCGTTAGAGAGAGGCGAAATCACCTTGACGGGTGGACTGGAGTAGTTTGAAATCAAACGAACCAGGATAAAAATACTGTGTTGTCAAGCCATTTGTTTTAAGTTTTACAATTCAACCCCCCCTTCTTGTGTTTTTCACATCTTCAATTGGCATCAGAGCGCCTGGTTCTGAGCTTTAACACTTAACTGTGTCAG